TTGAAATTCTGGTGAAATTCTCTTTTTCTTTTGTTTATCAACAATAGTAACTTGTTCATCATTAAAGGTAACAGGAATGAAAGCACTCTTAATTCTTTTCTTTTCATTTTCAATACAAAGTGTTTCTTCAATACACATACTTTAACAGTTTAATACAATTTAATTTAATAAGATGTGATTGATAATCTTTTTATATTTCTTCCTTTTCTTCCACGAAGTGATACGTGGTTAAAAATATACACTTTTTTTCTTTATTTTTTTTTTCAAATTCTATTTCCTTCACATAAAAAAATAAACAATTCTTGTTAATGATATTTGAAAACTTGTTGATAATCGTATAAAATCTTATTATTCTACTTTTATTAATACTATACTTTTGAGTTAAAAAGAAAATGACTTTTTCAATGAATTTAAAATGAGTTTGGCTTTTATTTTCTTTCTTAATGTTATGACTTTCCTTAGTTTCTGTAAAGAATAGAAAAAAAAATATATGTTTTTTAAAAATGAAATTAACCTTTTTAAGAAACAAATAAAGAGTCAACGTCAAACTACCTGTATTTATTGAATTGAAATAAAAAACACTTAAGACATTTCTCTGTTTCAACATATTTTAATGAAAAGAAAAAAAAAGAAAAGAATAACTCCAGAAAAGAATAAAAAATCCAAATAAAAATGTCAAAATGTTGAATTGATGACTTAAAAAATAAAAAAATCTTTAAACCAGAAAAATAAATATTTTAATTTAAGCTATGTTCCACATTAAAAATAGATTATTTTGCATCTGAAATAATATCCTTTGTTTCTTTATCTTTTCTAATTAAATTTTGTGAAAGAATACGTTTCTTTTCTCCTTCAACAAATTCTTTCATTTTATCTATTGTTTCATTCTCCTTTCCTCTTTTCCATTCATCTTCATCATATTGAGTTAAAACTGGTATTGGATTTCCATTTGGTAATAAAACCCCTTCATTAAATAACTCTTTATGAAATTCACTTGTAAGCAATCTTGAAGCACTTAACCGTTTTTCAGGGGAGTATTGTAATGTATGAGTTAAAATAGTAATAGCCTGAACAGGAGGTTTAAATGAACTCAATGTATTTTCAATTCCAATTCCATCAACTTTAGGTAATATTGGTGGAGGGATTTCATTATTCATTGCTTTCATCTCTTCTTCTGTAGGTGTTCCAATAATTTTTATTATTTTTACAACTTGATCTGAAGTACTACTCCCTGGAAAAAGTGGTTTTCCTAAGAACATCTCTGCAAGAATACATCCATAAGACCAAATATCAATAGAACTATTATATTTACTTGTTCTAAATACTAATTCTGGTGCTCGGTAATGCCGTGAACAAATATATGAAACATTTGGTTCTGATGAATCTAAAATATTTTTTGCACTTCCAAAATCACAAATCTTTAAATCACCTGTATTTTTATTAACTAAAATATTTTCTGGTTTAATATCTTGATGAATTATATTTAATGAATGAATATATGCTAATCCACGAATAAGTTCATATGAAAATAATCTAATATATATAGTTGGTACTTTTTTTTTTAAACTTCTCATAAACTGATAAAGATTTTGTGGTAAATAATCCATAACTAAATTTAAACAAAAACTTGAGCTCTAATAATGGTGTTAGTAGTTTGTTTGTTTTTTTATTCTTTAAAAAAACACTGTTTTAATTATTTATGTCCGTTCTTAACAAAATTAAAATAAACAAACATTTGATAACTTACTCAAAAATGAATCTTTTAATTTTATTACATTTTGATGATGAAGTATTTCCTGTATTCTTAATTCTTTGTTCTATATTCATTATTATTTTCTCACTTATTTATTATTTTCTTTAAACAAATATTCTTTACTTCTTTTTTTTTTAATTGGTTATTATACTTAATAATTATAACAAACTTTACACCGTTTCCCTTGTGAGACTCTCTTAATAGCATTAACCTCACCTGTTTTTATATTATTAGCTAAAAAAACAATACCAAATGCTCCATACCCAATAACTTTTGATATTCGATATTTATTACTTTCATTATCTAATATTATTCCTTCTTGAATTCCATAATTTTGAAATACTTCTGTTTGTGATACTCTTTTTAATAATCGTTTAGACATTGACTGATCCTTAAAGTTCTTTTTCGTCAAAATTTTTTTGTTTTCTTTATAACAAAATTTTATGATCTTTTTATAGCATTTTCATTTATTTTTGTTTTTAATTACATTTTTCTTTTTCAAAATAAGTAATTTTTCTGTTATTTATTAAAATTGATAAAAAGTAATTAATAAATTAGTATTTTTAATAATTATAACTTATTTTATAGTAAGATTTTTAAAAATAAAAAACCTTAAAAAACCCTATTTTTTCCAAAAAGAATGAAAAATTGAGAGAAAAGAAGTAATTCAGTAAAAAAGAAAAAATAAAGAAAAGCAAAAGAATTTAAAAAAAAAACCCTTTGAATTAAAACTTTGAAAGATAAAAGAAGTTAAAGAGAAAGAAGATAAGATGGCAGCATGGTTAAATGGAACAAAAAAGAAAGAGTGTTTGACATTAGATAAAGAAATGAAATTATTTGAAGAATTTATTCAATTAACACCAGAAGAAATTAGATGTAGAAATTATTGTGTTGATAAACTTAAACAACTCTTTGAAAATAATATAGAACATTGTGAAGTTCAAGTGTATGGAAGTTTTGTTTATGGATTATCATTACCATCAAGTGATGTTGATATTGCATTATTATTTCCTCAATTACCATCTTTATCGATAGGAAGAAAAATTAGAATATTAAAAAGAGTTGCTCAACTTTGTAGAACAATAAAAAGTATTAGAGTAGATGATGTAATTACTAATGCTAAAATACCTATTGTTAAATTAACTGATTTAGAATGTGCATTATCAATTGATATTTCTGTTGATTGTGATAATGGGATTGTAACTACTAGTTATATTAAAACATTATTAACTGAATTCCCATTAGCAAGAACACTTTCATTATTTATTAAATTTTTATTATTTCAAAATTCATTAAATGAACCATATCATGGTGGTTTAGGTTCATATGCAATTATTCTTTTAGTTTGTACATATCTCAAAAATAATCCAACAGAAGACTGTGGTATTGCTATTACTGGATTTCTTAATTTTTATGGATCATTATTTAAAATGAGAATGACTGCTGTTTCATTAATTAGTGGATATTGTAAATATCGATCTGAAGATGATTCTGAATCATGTCCAATGATTATTGATCCTTGTGATGAATTAAATAATGTTGGTAGAACTTCTTTTAAATTTACTACTGTTCAGTACATTTTTAAAAAGACATTAATTGGAATAAATTATCAGTACAAAAGTCCAAAGGAAAAATATCTACCTAAAAGAAGTAGATTATCTAATGTTGTTGCTATTGCAGCATCTACTTTAGTTTTTAGAAATGCTATTTGTCAACGATTTAGTGAACAAGGTACTCCAACTCTTGTTCATGAAAATAGAACAGTCAATGATAAGTCGTTACAATAACCATAAATTCTTTTAATGATTGATTTAATTGTAATGTTTATTTGAAAATTCTATTAACACTTAATAAATTACTTTATTTTCTTAAATAATAAAATCCCAAATTGTAAAGAAATTCATCTTCTTCTCTTATTTTTTTTTTATTCTTTGAGAACTTTATATTTAATTTAAATGATTAGCTTGGAAGCTATTTATTTAATGCATGTCGCATTACATTTTGAAACTTATTCAGACATTTTTAAATTTCTTCAAGTTAGTAAAACTTGTAAAGAAGCAATTGAACGACTAAAAATTAATCCATGGTTTGCTAGTAGTGAAAGTGTTATTAAATTTTGTACAAATTTTAATCCTGAAACAATGAATTGTTTATCTTATTGTTTCTTTTCTAAACAACTATTTAACAAAGTCTCAAATATAAGAAATCCAATGTTTAATAGTATTTTAAAATCTAATATAAATGACATTACATCAATACTACCAAAAGTTTATCATATATCATTGTATTATACAGATGAATCTGAAACCCATCCTGAATCAAGAATGCCTGAAGAAACATCTCAATTTTTTATTGAGAATGCTCAACAATTTAATAACTTAAGATGTGTCAGAGGAGACATTGAATTAGTTATTGCATTTTTCAAAAAATTTACTGACAATGGTAGTCAAATGTTTGTTCACTTTCCAACAAGAGTTGAATTATTTAATTTAGTCAAAAGAAGTAGTTCTACAGAACAAAATTTGATTAGTCAAATAAAGAAGTACCTTCCTCATAATGGCATGACTCAAATAGAATATACAACTAATACCCATGTTAAATCAAAAGAAGAATTAAAATGTTTTGATGGAATTGAGTATCATTATACTGCTTTTAGTGATAATCAATGTGAATTTATGAGTGAAGCAATTGAATGTGATGAAGGAAAAATTGATATTAAAGGTACACTTAATTGTAATAGATTTAATTCTATTATAGAAAAATGTTATGCAGATATTATTAAACTTCATTTTGAAAAACCATTTGAACAAGAAGAAGGAGATGTGTTTAAAAGAAAAAAATATGATAATTGGAATATACCAAAATGTGTATTAACACTAGAACTAACACTTAATTTTGAATATCAATCAGATGACTATTATTTAATGCCAATTAACATGGATTATCTTCAAATATTAACATTAAATGAATGTGGGAATATTTCATTTGAAGGGGATTATCCATTATTAAGAGAAGTGAATATTTTAGGAAGTCATGACATTCAATTCATTGGTAAAGATAAAACAATAAACATTATTGAAATTGCTATTGAAGGTTGTAGTTATTGTTCTATTGAATTAAAATTTAGTCCAATCGAATCAGTTATATTACAAGATGTTGAAGAGGTAACAATGAACATTAAAGTGGACTCTCTAAAAGAATTTGTTATAATGGCAAGTAGGAATTGTTACTTTAATCCAGTTTCATTCAAAGATGTATTTGTTCAAATAGAAGAATGTTCAGAAATTAGCTTTTATAACATTGATAAAATAAATCAATTACCAGAAGATCAAGACATAGACGAAGAAGATTTAATTTCTCCATTACAATATTGTGGAGTTGATTATACAAAATTCCAAGAAATAATTCAAAGTTGTATCTTTTTACCATCACTACAATTATTTACCAAAATGAGTTCTAATAGTTACAATAAACTATTCCAAGTAAGATGGTTTTATGTAAGTTGTTCAAGAGTTCAATCTCGTGGACCTGAAATTCGATTAAAAAAACAAGTAAGTTCATGGTTAATCAATACTCTATTTTCAAGTAATTTTTATAATAAAGAAGATGATCGTAAGAATATGTATTTAGTATTTCCAAATGGTACTGAAAAAGTTGTTGATTCTTCTATCAGATATTTTGAAGTGACAGTACAACACCAGTCATTAATGTCTATTGGTATAATTCACTCAACAAAATTTGAATATGATGAAACAGTTTGTTATTGTTTATAAATAAAAGTCTTCTATAAAATAAACATTAAAAAGAATAGGAGTATATTGGTAATATCAAATATTCTATTGGATATATGAATGATAGTGGAAATGTTTATGAAGGTGATCATAAAATCGCTTGTTCATTCAAACCATATGGTTTATATGATGGAAATAAAAATGTTATTGGATGTGGTTTTAATTCAATTACTCATGAAGTCTTTTTTACTTGTGATGGAATAAAAGGTTATACCAAAAAGATTGACTGGGAAGGGATTGATGCGGCAATATCACTTAGCTTATTTAAGGAACTACATATCAATTATGGACAAGAACCATTTGTTTACAATATTTATAATGAGTATCAAATTGGTTCTTGTTTAGTGGTATAATTCATTTCTTTGTTTCATTATATCAAACCATTCTTCTTATCCATTCATTTCTCATGAATAACATAATTGTTGAGATGAATAACAAAAAAAATAATCAATTTTCCGAAGAAGTTCAACATCATTTTGGTAAACAAGAATCATCAAAACCAAAAAAACAAGGAAAAAAGAACAGTAAATATGCAGTTTTGTTTGCTTAGTGAAATAAGTCTAAAAATGGCTATAACGGCAGAATGAGAACTTGAAAAAATCTCATCTTTGATTATTAAATGGAGAAAACTATCAATAAAGCAACTGATCCTGCTGACTCTTTTCCAAAAGACAAACACGTTAGAAAATTAATTTGCTCATGTAGTACTGAACAATATTGTGTCATGCTCTATCATCAACTATTAGAAAAAATAAAAAAAGGAACACCAGTTACTCAAATGAAAGCTCTGGAAATTATTCATAGAATTATGCTTGATGGACCTCAACAAGCTTGTACAACAAGAACATTTGATTTAGGATGGATTCCAGAATTAGATAGATTCAAGCGCTCACAACCACGGAATGTTGCAACTGATTTATTCCTTAAATTTATCAGAGTCTTAGAAAGTAAAGTTGAATTACATACAAATAATCGATTTATTCCAGGATCAATGGATCCAGATTTATTTAAGAAAGTTATTGGTCGGATGAAAATTAATTCTTATGAAAGTGCTAGTGCAGTTATTGAACCATTAATGAAACATTTACGAGTATGTCAAGATGATACTAATGCTATTTTAAAAGTATTAAATGCAAAAAGAATATTATCACTTATGGCAATGTTAGTTACTTTAATGAGAGAATTAAATGGTATCTATTATATGTTTTATGAAATTATTTTTAATACTTTTGTTTCTCTTCATCATGACCAACGATATAAAGATTTAATTTCACAATTTAATACAATGCATTATGACCTTAAAAGTATATTTGACCAAATTAGTGTTATTAGAGATGTTACTGCTTTGGTTACTGTTCCACAATTGTCTTCTCAACCACCTGATTTTAGTGTCATTACTTTAGGTCATCCAAGATCACCAACCCCACCTCCTAAAGAACCAACTCCACCACCAAAACAAGAACCACAACAACAGGCATTTGAACCATTTGACTTCAACAAGTTTGAAGAAGTTAAATCAGTTCCACAACAACCAGTACCTGCACCATTTGATTTTGCTAAAGAAGAACAAGAACAAAAGAAACAACCTGTTGCTATTGAAAAAGAAAAAGAAGTTATTGTTAAAGTAGAAAAGGTTGTAGATATGGATCGAATCAATAAATTACTCAAAAGAATTAAAGAACTTGAAGAACAAATTAATGAATTAAAAATAACTATTGACCAATTAAAAGCAAAACATAAACGAGAGTTAAAACAATTAAATGAAGAAAAAGAAGTAGGAAATAATGATAAAATTAAGGAGTTAGAAGCTGTTATTGAACAATTGAAAAAAGAAATTGAAGAATGGAAAGAAAAAAGTTCAGAAACAGAAGAATTAAAGAAAGAGTTGGCAAAAAAGGAAGAAGAAATTAAAGAATTAAAAGAAATTCAACAACAACTAAATGAAAAAGAAAGACAATTAAAAGAAGAAGAAGAAAAGAGAAAACAAATTGAAAATGAATTAAATCAATTAAAAGAAGTTATGGCAAAAGAGACTCAATTAAAAGAAGAATTTTCACATAAAGTTGAAGAAGCACAAAAAGTGATTCAAGAATTAGAGAAACAACTTGAAGAATTAAAATTAAGAGAAAGTAATCTTGGAGAAAATGAAAAGAAATTAATACAAGAATTAGAAGAACAAAAGAAAGAACTTGATAATTGGAAGAAGAAAGAGGAAGAATGGAATGAATATAAGAAAAATAAAGAATTAGAAAATGAAGCAATGAAAGTTGAATTAAAAAAGTTACAAGACAAGAATCAAGAGTATATTATGAATATTGAACAACTCAATAAAGAAAAAGAAAATAAAATACAACAATTAAAAGAACTTGAATTAAAAGTTAATGAAATGGAACAAAAATATGAAATATTAGAAAAAGAAAGAGAAGAAGATTATTGGAGAGTTGTTGGAGCAAATGTTAAGGGAGTAGAAAAAGAATTTGAAGAAATGATGAAAAACTTTAATGACATGACAATTGAAGGAAATAAAAATGCTACTAAAGAAACTGTTCTAAGAGATTTAACTATTCTTAATGCTACTGGAAATGCTTATAGAATGGCATTAGAACAAAACCATCCAAAAGAAGCAGAAAAAGAATTAGAGAATTTCCATAAATCAATGCAAACATTATTAGAAGACCTTAAAGGAGTTGAACCAAAAATTGCAGATGAAGCAATGAAACTACAATTAAGACAAACCACATCTGATTTATATGATAGTGTTAAAGTGTTAATGAATAAATGGAATGATAGAGAACATGTCAATGAAGCTGGTGATGTTTTTAATATCAATATGACAAAAGAAAAAACTCTTGTAGAAGGAATTGAAGAAGTTGCTGAAGCAGTTAATTTGAGTGGAATTGATGATGACGCTGAACGAGAATTATTAAAAGCAGCTGATTCTATCAATAGTTTAGCTAAAGACCTTGAAAAATGGTTAAAACAATCAAAGAAAGGAGTAAGTGCTGAAATGGATGTTAACCAAGCAATTATGGAAAGTGCACAAGCTATTGCTAAAGCAACTGCTGCACTTGTTAATGCAGCAGCTTTAGCTCAAAAAGAAAGAGTTGCATTAGGAAAGAAACTAGCTACACCAACAAAACCATATGCTCCAAATCAAGTTTGGTCTGAGGGATTAGTTACTGCAGGAAAGGCAGTTGCTGAAGCTACAAAAGAAATTGTTACTGTTGCCAATAATAATGTTACACCTGGTTGTGAAAAGAATGAAGATGCTTTAATTGCTTCTAGTCGTGAAGTTGCTAAAGCTACCGTTCAGTTAGTCACTGCAGCACGATCCAAAGCTGATTTTGATTCACCAACATTAGGTAAAGTTGAAAATGCATCAAAGAGTGTTAAAGAAGCTACAGAATTACTTGTAAAAGCAGTTAATGCAATTAGTGGACTCAAAGAAGAAAAAGATGAGAGTGTTGATTTTAGTAAATTAACTGATTATCAACTGATTGTCAAAGAACGAGAGGCACAAATTAAAGTACTTAAATTAAGAAGAGAATTAGATGCTGCTGAGAAAAAATTAAAAGACTTGAATAAACAACGTTATGAAAGACAAAACAATTAATTCATTTTTTATTTGTGTTATTCACTTTTTAAAAATAATTAAATTGATATAACAAATAAAAAAGTTATAAATATTATTAAATAAACTATTTTAAATCAAATATAAAAGAAAATTAGAAGAATAATTAAATAAACTAGTAAAATAGAATTAGTTAAAAAGAAAAAAAGGGTTTTGTATTTTAAGATAATTCAACCAGTCGTTTTCTGAAATGGCTAGAGGACCAAGACACCACTTGAAGAGATTAAATGCCCCACATCATTGGATGCTTTCTAAATTAGGA